AGCACTTTCGTTTCCGGAATCTCTGTGGGAACGCAGGGGGGGAGATTGCACGAGCTCACCGCCTTCCGAGACGGGCGCGCGTGATCCACACAGCGTACCGCCCTCGTCCAGTCTCACACCCTGGACTAGGTACTCGTGCCGCGTCGCCTGCCGCAAGCCGGTGCCGGAGCATGTGGCGCAGGTGCGGGGGAGATCTGGGGAGATCTGGGGAGATCAGGGGAGATACAGCCGGTGCCGGAGCACGTGGCGCAGGACTCCTAGTAGTAGTAGTGAGGTGTCCGTGCTTGACTCCTCCACCTCTCTCCGAAGGTGGCAGTTTCGCTCGACACGGCGGCGGCGCGGAACATGCACGCCGTGCTCAAGGGCGGGACACGTGCAGGACAGGTCCGAGACATGTCCGAGACATGTCCGAGACATGTCTCCGTAGGCAACTGCTGCGCCGTCCACCTCGGGACACGTCCAGGACATGTCCGAGACATGTCCGAGACATGTCCGAGACACCTCGCCATAGGCACACCGTCTTCGAGGGCGGCGCCGAGTTCACGCCACATCCGGCGGAGACGAGGCGCGAGGCGGTGCGGCGCGCGGCCCTAGAAGCGGAACATCTCGCCATATCTCCCCATATCTCCCCGTATCTCTTCACATCTCCCCACACCTCCCCACATCTCCCTACATCTCCCCGTATCTCCCCATATCTCCCCGTATCTCCCCGTATCTCCCCGTATCTCCCTGTATCACATCTCCCCGCATCTCCCCATTTTCCCATCTCCCCGTAACTCGTGGCCCAGACGCGCAGCACGGGCTCGATTGTTGCAGAGGTATGGGGGGGGGGGGGGGGAGATATGGGGAGAGAGATTGGGCGTATTCCGCTTCTAGGGCTCGAAATGGGGGGAAACACGGGGAGATGTGATCTCTGTTCATGGGGTCGAGTCCCGATCGGGCGCGCATCTCCCCCCCATCTCCCCCCCATCTCCCCCCATCTCCCGCAGGCTCGCAATCGGCCGCATGCTGCGCTTCCTCGTCGAGCGGCTCGAGAGGTCGCACCGGGGACACGTCCAGGACACGTCCAGGACAGGTCCGAGACATGTCCGAGACATGTCTCCGTAGGCAGCTGCTGCCCCGTCCACCTCGGGACACGTCCAGGACAGGTCCGAGACATGTCCGAGACATGTCCCCATAGGCCGGACCAGACGCTCCACCTCTACTCTGGCCACGACTGGACCGTGACGCCGCTGCTGCTCGCAGTCTGCCGCCACGACGAGCCCGCGCTTCGCAGCCGGCGCACCTAGAAGCGGGCCACATCCGCATGTCCATGTCCTGGCGAGTAGAGGCCCCGCCCACCCAGGGTACCCCTCTCGCCGCGGCTCTGCTCGCAAGAGACCTCGAGAGAGCGTGCGTGTGCCTCTCCTCGCCAGGTCCATGTCCATGGCCCCCACATGCGCTCGAGGGGACGCGGACTCAACTGTGGTTCCGCCGCCTTCCGCCGCATTCACTCTCCCTCGCACACGTCGTGCTCACGCGCACATATGCTGGCGTCCTCACAACGCATGCTGCTCATATATCCCCATATCTCCCCATATCTCACGCCCTCATGGGGGGGTTTTCACAGGGCATGCTTGCCCCCCCCCCCCCCCACACACACCGCTCACCACACGCGCACTGGACTTGGCACGTGTTTCTGCCGCGCGGCTCCTGTCGTCCAGACGTGGAGATGCGAGGGCCGCCGGGCCCTTGCCCCAAGGGCGTGTGTGTGTGTGTGTGGAGAAGTTTACCTGACCTTACCTCACGTAGGCTGGCCCCCGTTCTGCTCCAGCCTCGCGTTGGAGCTCTGGTCGAGAAGCGACACGCCCTAAAAAAGAAATACATACCCAAAAAAAGAAATACAGCCGATTTCTTTTTTAGGTCGAGAAGCGACACGCCCCTCTGCCACTGGGCGAGCGGCGGCGACCCGGCGGCGGCCGACGAAGGCCGGCCGAGTAGAGCCGCGGGGACCTCGAAACAGAAATCTTGCGCGCCCACGTTTGTTTTGTCATAGGCCGGTACGTGCGCGTCCTGTGGAACGGCGCGCTGGTGCGACTAAGATAAAAAAGAAACTAAAGCACCGGACGCGCGTTTGTTTCATCTTAGGCGCGCCGGTGCGACTTGCTTGCGCCGAGAGCAGCGACGGCGTCTGCACTCTCGCCGACTTCAAGAGCATGGTCGCCCCCCTGCTCGTGCAAGACTTTTCCCGCGAGTGCCAGCCCCGGGTGATGCGAGGGCCCGAGATTGCCACCGCGGACCGCGAGAAGGCCCACCCGCCCGGGGCGACACCGGCTTTCAACAGGTGAGGATCAAAGGTGAGGAGTGGCCGCGCCGAGGTATTTGCACACACACGCCCCGAGCCCGTGTGTGTCCTGTTCGACGTTTCCCAGCGCCCTCAGCCTCCCCCCAGCTAGGAGCGAGTCTCTCGCTCGGTGTGTCGTCGAGCTGTTGTGTCTGACTCTCTGCAGACTGCAAGAGTGACTCTATGTTGGCGTTTTAAAGTTATTTCATGTTTGGCGATGGCGGATGGATGGCCCACTCTGTGGCAAAACACTAACCGGTAGTAACTCTAGTATCGTAGTTGAGCACTGCCCGGGCTGATGTTGCGGAGATCAGTACAGTAGGAGGATGTACGACGAGATTAGGAGCAGCAGGGACCCGAGGGACCATGTGGAAGACGGCTAGTGCGCTAGTCCCCTAACGTATCGGGAGGACGACCCCGGCTAGTCCCCTATCCATTTCACCACAATGCCGTAAAGGGTCTAGTTGTTTTGATAGCACCATGACTTGCACGACTCGGCTCTAATTTTACAGCACTCAATAATAGAATTTTACAACAAAACTCCCTCGCACAGCTTAATAATAGAAACGACAGTGCGCCCTGCGGCGAGCGGAACCACTAGCTGCAGGACTCTAAAGTGTTGAGCGGTCTCAATGACTCAACCGAGCCCAAATCGCATGGGAGACCGGTTTAGCCATGCGCATGCGAACGGAGGGCTCGGGCGAAGATCAGTCTTGCCGCACAGAACGCAGCAACAGTGGGAGGCACGAGCCGGTTGGCGTTTGGCCAGGCACAAGCAGCTGCCTCCTCTCTTGGATGGGTGGGTGGGTGGGGGTGGATTCTC